CATATTTTTGTTTTTTTAATAAATTTTAATATGCAAAAAAAAATTAAAAATCACCCTAAAATCAAATATGAAACTATGCTTTGGGGAGATATTTTTTTTTTTTAAGCACTGAAAAGCCAAGAGCAGTGCTTACACTAAATATATTTATAATCTGACTTATCTTAACACACTTGAAATTTTGCTTTTGGTAAGAATTATTTTTTTCTTATTTGACTTCATGATTAAGTTAGTCAAATATGCATACATAACAACCTTGTTCTATATAAAACATTTTCTAAGCATGGTGTACTTTTTATTAGATAATGATTGTATGTGAGTTAATAACACCAGAAGTATTGTTTAAATTATATTTATTGGAAATAATTTGAAAATGTATCAGGAAATCTTTAAGAGAGAAAGAAAGAAATTGCAGATAAAGTGGAGTTGAATTTCTTAAGGTTTCAGGAAGCTGTTTATCTGAAGAATCAGATTTTCAGACTATACTCTTTCATTCAATGTTCTGACAAGGCAGTTCTGTGGTAGCCTCTCATAATTTCCATATGTTTGTATGCTTGTGTCGAAGGGAGGTGGATGTGAGGGGCACATCATTAGTTAAACTGAATTAACAGTACAGCAGTTTTAATCCCATCAATCCCATCACTTAAGTAATTCATTCTTTCTCTGCCTTTATTACCTTCTCATAGAGTTGAAATACTTGAAAGCGGTGGTTAAAGATGTTGTTGTTGTGTGCCATCCAGTTGATTCCTGCTCATAGCAACCCTACAGGACAGAGTGGAACTGCCCCATAGGATTTCCAAAAAGTGGCTGGTGGATTCAAACTGCAGACCTTTTGGTTAGCAGCCTGAGTTCTTAACCCTTTTGCCACCAGGGCTCTTATTTTGAGTTTTCCCCTCATCTCATTTAGATAATTATTTTTAAATACTGTATATTTTACCCAAGTTGTACCTTTTGTAGCCCTAAATTTATTTATGGCATTTCTGCAAGAAACGTTTAAGAAAAAAATATGTCTTTCTCATCAGACAAGCTTGGGCTTTGGCCATCCTTTATTGGTCATTAAACATTTTATTCCTTCCCTTATGGACTCGGTTCCTCAATTTTAAAGGTCTCAATATTTATTTCATAGAGTAGCTATGAAAATTAAATAAAGATTAGACAAACATAGGAATATGTGCATATATAACATAATTAGCCTAGTAGGTAAATTACTCTTAAATGCTCAATAAATATTTATTTCCCTGATATTCTATCATCATTCAATTATTTATTTATTCATTTAACTATACAGTTACTTAGTCAATCAGCTCATCAAGGCTTTACTATGTCCCATTCTGTATAATTTTGGAATATACAGATAAATAAGACTTGGTCTTGGTCCCCACAAAAGACACAGCTAATGAGAAGACATAAAGATAATTAATAGCAATAATTAAGTAAATGTGATAAACGTACCAAAAGTCGTTTGTTTGGAGAAAGGATTATTATTTTTCTATAATTATGTGCTTTCTTTTTAAAATTCTATCTTTCACACTTATTTTCACATGTCCATATATAAGTTACACATTTATTAATGAAGTACATCTTCTATTGTTTCACTTTTCTGTCTTTGAAAAATAGCTCTTTGATTTTAAGTGACGTTACATAGCAAAAGACATGCATTACAAATTTGATTTCTGATACACGTATGAGCTTCTGACTTTTTTCCTTGAGCCTAGTGGCATTTAAATACACTATTTATTATTTGCATTTAAATACACTATTATTTGCATGGTTCTATTTGTAATAAGTATAAATTCTCCATCGAAATTAATGGAGTTCAATCGACAACAAATGCTCCATTGAAATGAATTAGTTTTAGTAGCCATTCATCCCTACTAAGACGAATGGCATGTGTAACTTATAGATCATATAGTTAAAGAAGGAAGGAGCCTATTAGATCACTAATTCTAGGTTGCCTGCTTGGAGAGAATATAGTCCCCAAATAGAGGACAGAACACTTGATCTTAGCCAAAAGGTTGTGAACAAAAGCTATTTTAATTTATTGCAATTAAAATGAATGGGATTCAATCTAACACATTTATGAGGATGCGATAACTATCGAATCACATTCATTTCAGTGGGGTGTGTTAGTCATCCAATTCTATTCATTTCCATGGGGATCCATTATTTATCGAATCACATTTATTTAAATGGGGATTCATTAGCTAAAAAATCTAATTAGTTTCCATGTGCATGCATTAGCTATCATGTCATCCTTCCTTTCAAAGACAATTCTCTAGTTATCAAATCCTATGCATTTATGTTTGGATTGGATTCTAGAGTTTGAAAAAGCTGTTACTCTTAATTAAATGGTTGCAATAAACTGTTATCATTATTATACTGTTGCATATTTAATAGTATTTTCTAAATATACAAAGACTTAGTCATCCCTGTTTTCAATAGCTAAATGAAATGACCTCTCAAACAATAAAACATTTAATTTAGCAGATGTCCAAAAGACCGATATGATTTTTAAAATATGAGAGTGATATTACATTTGAGACCAGGCTATATCCTTTGTTTCCCTGAAGCCTAATCATTAGGTGAAGTTTTCATGTACAGAGAGATTTTCAAAATTAAGAAAACAAAATGTTAAAAAAGAAAAAAAAACGGCCAAAAGGCCATAAGGATTCGGTCCTTAGATTTATGAGTTATGTACACTAAGATAATGCAGTGGTATATGTGTCATTAGAATCATAATTGGATGGATTCCAATGTCATTTCTTGGACATAATTCCAGCTCCTAAATTGTTTTAAAAAATCCATATTTTGGAGAAACCAGAGCTTTTTTATGCCAGATATATATAGTACCAAGTTGAACAGAGCCCTAGATATTAGTCATTGTTGAGGTAGATTAAGGAACAAATTTAGTTACTTTAAACCATCATATACAACTTTCTTAAATTGCTGTGATGCATACTCAATTTATGTAGATAATCATAGCTTTCCCTGGCCTTAAAATAAATTATCTTTCAAGAACTAAAGTGATTTAAGTCACTTTAGCTTATGAAAACTTCAGGAGTACAGTATAATGTGAAAATATTATATTGGTAATATCTCAAGGCTGGGTTGACACAAGGGGCCTCTTGGATTTCTGTGTGTTTGATACTTTGAGGTGGTTGTTCAGCTATTTAGCTCTTTTTCAACATCACTATCACATTTCATGGGTTGGAGGGCCATAAACACCTTATTCCACTTACTCTAAGTTTACCAATGCCTTCTGTGTGTGTGTGTGTGTGTGTGTGTGTGTGTAGGCATGAATGAGTTATTTTGAGAGAAATAACGGAAAGATGGAGGAATCATATGTAAGTAATTCTTCACAACAGTATAAACAAATAAAATTCTGTGAACTAGCTGCTAATCGTTGTAGATTGCTTTTCAAATTAAATCTTTCTAGAGTTAAGAATGTAATATTTTCCTAGTATTTCTGTAATACTTGAATTTTGTTTTAATCATTATAATCTTAAATAAAAAATAACAAAAAGAAAAACAAACTTTCAAAAAACATAAATTTATAGTGATGTGCTGTAGTGTCACAATGCATAGAATTGAATTCCACTGGTGCCCTTTGTTACCTGAGATCTTGGGAAACTTAATTTTCTAAGATCTAAATTTATTCATCTATAAACTGAAGGATAAAATCAAAGTTAGCTCACATGGTGCTATGAGAATTTTATAATCCTTGTAAACTCCTCTCTGTAGTAATTGCATAAACTCATAATACATGTGTGATTTTAGTATGTGCTCAATATAAATTATCTATTATTAATAACACTGCTTTTTTAAATGAAAAGAAAAGCAATTAATAATAAACCAGCATCCTCAGAGTTCTTCATTTTTCCTTTTAAGTAAGAGTATCTATAAAAGTATAGTTATTTATTTAAAATGCCTATTTATCACCAAAGGCAATTAAAAATAGTTTCAGTTTTATCAGTAAGTTGTGTTCTACAATTATTTTGGAATTTACAACTTGTTCTTCGGAAGATATAAAATTCAATTTGAATGTGTATGTAAAAAAAAAATTTTTGAAAAAAAAAAAAAATTCAATTTGATAGTTGCAGTCTTCATCAATCAAACACGGCCCTGATAGGAGGGTGTTGAGTGGATGTAGAAAGTAGCTAAACAGATGAGCACGTGAACAGTGTCCAAGAGACACTGAAATTTTCATGTGCCTTTGTAAGGGAACATGGAGGTGCTGAGAAGGTTCTCAAGCAAACCAAGATCTGGGCATGAAGTGAAATGTTCCCATTATTCACTGTCTTAGTTACAGAGTGCTGTTGAACAAAAGTGACCACAAATGAGTGGCTTTAAAGAACAGACTGATTTATTTTTTCACAGTTCTGGAGGCTAGAAGTCCATCCAGATTCTAGAGGGAGGTTCTATTTTAGCTTTTTGTAGCTACCAGCAATCCTTGGAGTTCTATAAGACGAGCTTATAGATTCATCTTTCTCCTCCATGCATATTTGTCTTCATATAGTGTCTTCCCTGTGTGTGTCTGTGTCTATTCTACTCTTTTTATAACTCAGAAGTGGTTAGGTTTATGACTCACTGTACTCTGGCATGACCTCATTAACATAACAAAAGAAAAACATCTATTTCCAAACAGTGTCATATTTACAAGTACAAGGGTTAGGATTTCAATACATTTTTGGCAAAGACACAACTCAATCCGCAAGATTCAGTAACTGGAGTCTCAGAGCGAAATGGTCAGGACCTTAGTCTCAGGCAGTGGACACAAGCATGGATTAGTTGCACATCAGTGGTCAACCTGTGATTTTAAGGAAAAGCACACACTGAATCTCATAAGTCACTTATCATCACCACTCATCTTTCTGATTTTTACCCAGATATTATATTGAAGAGGGGGCAGGGATAAAAGATAAGATTCTGAAAGGCCATGAAAGACCAAGTCATCCACATAACTGAATACCCGAGAAGTTGTTTGAATTATTGAATCTGATGGAAATTATTAGCTTCAATGAATCTAATGTTTGTGAATTATAATATGATCAATTATAGAAAAATGCAGAAGCTTTATTATTTTGGCAAACATGCATCTAAGACTTCATCAGCTTTTGATGTCATACATCCTTTTAAACATATCCCACTTAAACAAGCGTTTTGAATCCTTTCTTTAGATATTTCTGGGTATCTTCAATTGGGAGAATTGGGAATCCACAGATTCATCCTCGATGTAGCTTTTCTCGTTACTGTTCCTATTTAAAAAAGAGAAAAAAAAAAGCCATTTTCATTTTGATATCACTTCAGGAAACCCTGGTGGTGTAGTGGTTAAAAGTTCGGCTGCTAACCAAAAGCTCAGCAGTTCGAATCCAAGAGGTACTCTTTGGAAACCCTATGGGGCAGTTCTACTCTGTTCTATAGTGTCACTGTGAGTCGAAATCGACTTGACAGCAACGGGTTTCTTTTTGTTTTTTTTCCCTTGTGCACTTTTGCTTCTACCATACTTCTTTTTTTTTTTCTTTTTTTTTTTAAATTGTGCTTTAGGTGAAAGTTTGCAGAGCAAATTAGTTCCTCACTAAACAATTAATGCACATATTGTTTTGTGAATTTGTTGCCAACTTCATGACATGTCAACATTATCCCCTTCTTGAGCTTGGGTTCCCATTTCCATTCATCCGGCTTTTCTGTTCTCTCTTATCTTCTTGTCCTGCCCCTGGGCTAGTGTACCCATTTAGACTTGTACACATGGTTGAACCATGTGTGCTATTGTTTCTTTTATAGGCCTGACTAATCTTTGGCTAAAACGTGAACCTCAGGAGTGATTCCAGTACTGAGTTAAAAGGTCTCCGGGGGCCATACTCTCAGGGTTTCTCCAGTCTCTGTCAGACCAGTAAGATTTTTTGTGTGTGTGAGTTTGAATTTTGTTGTACATTTTTCTCCAGCTCTGTCTGAGACCCTCTACTGTGATCGCTGTCAGAGCAGTTGGTGTGGTAGCAAGGCACCATCTAGTTGTTCTGGACTCAATCTGGTGGAGCCTATAGTAGTTGTGGTCTATTAGTCCTTTGGACTAATCTTTCACTTGTGTCTTTGGTTTTCCTTATTCTTCCTTGCTCCAGATGGGGTGGTACCAGTAGACATATTTTAGGTGGCCACTCACAAGCTTTTAAGATCCCAGACGCTACTCACCAAACTAGGATGTAGAACATTTTCTTTATAAACTATGTTATGCCAATTGAGCTAGAGACCATACTTCTTTCCCCCCTAAATATTGTTTAAGAAGGTGGTATATGATCAAAAACCAATGGTACCGAAGGAAGAAGTCCAAGCTGCACTGAAGGCATCGGTGAAAAACAATGTACCATAAATTGACAGTATACCAATTGAGAAGTTTCAATAAATAGAAGCAATACTGGAAGCACTCACTTATCTATGTTAAGAAGTTTGGAAGACAATTACTTGGCCAACAGACTGGAGGAGATCCATATTCGTGCCCACTCCAAAGAAAGGAGATCCAACATACTGCAGAAACTATCAAACAATATCATTAATATCACATGCAAGTAAAATATTTCTTGAAGATAATTCAAAAACAGTTGCAGCATTACACTGACAGGAAACTGCCAGAAATGCAAGGTGAATTCAGAAGAGACATGGAAAGAGGCATATCATTCATGATGTCAGACGGATCTTGGCTGAAAGCAAAGCATACCAGAAAGATGTTTGCCTGTGTTTTATTGACTATGCAAATTCATTTGACTGTGTGGATCATAGCAAATTATGGATAGCATTGTGGAGAATGGGAATGCCAGAACACCTAATTGTGCTCATGCAGAACCTGTACATAGATCAAGAGACAGTCATTCAAACAGAACAAGGAGACACTGCATGGTTTAAAATCAGAAAAAGTGTACATCAAGGTTACATCCTTTCACCATACTTATTCAATTTGTGTGCTGAGCAAATAATCTGAGAAGCTGGGCTACATGAAGAAAAATGTGGCATCAGGATTGGAGAAAGACTAATTCACAACCTGCAATATACAGGTGACACAACCCTGCTTGCTGAAACTGCAGGGAACTTAAAGCACTTACTGATGAAGATCAAAGACTATAGCCTTCAGTGTGGATTACACCTGGACATAAAGAAAACAGAAATCCTCAAAACTGGACCAATAAGCAACATCATGATGAAAAGAGAAAAAAATTGAAATTGTCAAAGATTTCATTTTTTTTGGATCCACAAATCAACACCCACGGATGCAGCAGTCAAGAAATCAAACAATATATTGCATTGGGCAAAACTACTGCAAAAGACCTCTTTAAAGTGTTAAAAACCAAAGATGTCACTTTGGACTAAGGTGAGCCTAAACAAGCCATGGTATTTTCAATTGCCTCATATGCATGCAAAAGCTGGACAAGGAATAAGGAAGACTGAAGAAGAATTGATGCCTTTGAATTATGGCGTTGGTGAAGAATCTTGAATATACTATGGATTGCCAGAAGAAATAACAAATCTGTCTTGGAAGAAATACAGCCAGAATGCTTCTTGGAAGCGAGGATAGGGAAATTTCCTCTCACGTACTTTGGACATGTTATCAGGAGGGGAAAGGACATCATGCTTGGTAATCTAGAGGGTCAGAAAAAAAGAAGACTGTCAATGAGATGGATTGACACAGCGGCTGCAACAATGGGCTCAAACATAGCAACAGCTGTGAGGATGGTGCAGGACCAGGCAACGTTTTGTTCTGCTGCAGTTGGGGTCGCTATAAGTCAAAGACAACTCTATGGCACCTAAGAACAACATTGGTATAGACACTTCTGTCAGTTGCTCATGTGGCAGCTATAACCAAGATATAATCTTTAACATAATTTTAGCAAATGCTAAGGGAAAACAGACAGGAACTAAATAGAGATGCTTAAAATAGGAAAATATATATAGCCGTTCTCAAAGTTCACATGATTAGGCCACTCCTTAGATGTCTTCTATTAAACATCATTCTTCTTAACTTTGTACTTGCTATCAGGTAGTAACAGATACCTTTTCTCTCTGTAATAAGAGGACCCATAGACATGTCTATTCTACCTCAAATCTTGGTCTTAACTGTTAATACCTCAATAAAGGAGAAAGAAAAAAAGAAAACATACAAACAAGCAAGAAAGAAAGCAAACACACAAGCAAGTAAGCAAGAAAAAGAGAAAGAAAGAGAAAAGGAAAGGAAAGATAAGAAAAGAAAAAATAGTTTCACTCCTACTCCAGGCAATGGGTTTCCAAAGTCTTCATTTTGCTGTTCTAATATGGGCCACTTGTCAGGAAATCTTCTAAGAATGATTGACAATGGAAAGATCTGTCTATTTAATCTCTAGCTCTAGGAATTGTCTTCCTTACAGAGCTCCTACCAAGACAGGCCATAAGAACAGAACAACCAGACATCAAACCATTTACCAATATTTAGATTGTTCATCATTGAATAATACTGGGCATAGAGCTTCCTATGAACAGTCTAGGTTGGACTGGCAAGACAAGTCTAACCTTTTTCAGTGTTCTGAAATGATATCACACAATCTTCTTTATATTTTGGCCAACATTTTTTCAAACTTAACCATTCTCAAAATAGGGTCTCTACATTTTTATAATTAAAAGATCCATGAAAGTGATTTTCCCAAAACTAAGGACTTATACCAAAAAACCCAAACTCATTGCTGTTGAATTGATTCTGACTGATAGCGACCCTATAGGACAGAGTGGAACTGCCCCCTAGGGGTTCCAAGGCTGTCAATCTTCATGGAAGCAGACTGCTGCATCTTTCTCCCTTGGAGCGACTGGTGGGTTAGAACCACCAGCCTTTCGATTAGTAGCTGAGAGCTTAACCACTCCATGTAATAATGACGTGGTGGTGCTGTCTGATCTCCTTTAATTCCATAAGAGATGAAGAGAATCAAGATCAACAGCCCAAGGCTGAGTGCTATGAGGCCCAGGAAATTTGCATTTGAAAAGACATGCACACCTACCCAGAACTGCTGAGAGAATAGATTTGCATTTGAAAGAAGGACCTCCAGAAAAAAAAAAATTGTTTTGTTTTTTGAATTTCTAGCAAACAATTTGTTTTGGGCACATTGAGGCAGGAAAAGTCAGTGCACAACAGAAGACTCTTCTCTAAGTTAAATTTTATCAGAGGCCACAAAGAGTGAAGATGAGATGACTGTTGGAGAACTTGACCAGATTAGATGGATACCTGCAGCAAACCTGAATGGCTGGTACCTGAGTAACCTCACCCTGAGGACTCTTTGCCCTACTGAAGGACTAATTGTTAATGACAGGTTTGGACTGGTAAAATGATTGGGAGGAGGAAGTTATCCTCCAAGTATGAAAGAGCCATGACTAGAAAGGCCAGAAAGTGGCCTGTGGTGCGATGGATTGCTTTTATATGGCCTTTCTCACCGTGGTCTTGTAACTCCTACCAAATAACTGGGTAGAACTATGCCAATAAAGTGCTTGTGGCTCACCAAGGGGATTGGACAGCTTGCTAATAATACAAATAAGGTGCATGGTACTCTTGTGGGAGTGGGACCATGCAAATAAGGTATATGGAACCCAAATGGGGGGATTAGTCAGTTTTGCCAACCCACTAGGCTTAAAAGAGACCCAATCTCAGAGCAGGGGGGACCTTACTACCAACAACAAAAGGAGACAGGAGCAGAGCATGTCCTTTGGAACCAGGGTCCCTGTGCTAGGAGCCTCCTAGACCCCGGAGACAGAGACAGAGAGAGCTGTAACACTGGAGATGGCACAAGATGACTAGAAGCAGTGGCAGAGAAGTAGTGGCAGCAGAACCAGGAGACCAATGTGAGACAGCATGGTGGGCTTTCCAGCCTGTGGAGTAAGGTGGGTGTGCCAATGCACAGAGCCAGAGATCTGAGAGGCTTTGAGCAGACTGCTTCCTTACAGAGTGGGGTACCCCCAGCCACTTATTGGTGGAGCTAAAGAGCTCTGTAACGTTTGCCCAGGCAGGGCAGACACCAGGCTACAGGGCCCAGGGGTCGAGGGGCTGAGGGATGAGAGGCCAAGGGCCTAGGGAAAAACCTACCTGTAGGGGGCTGAGAAGCTGTCCTGACTGAAGAACTGTACCCTGAGTGTTCCTGAACCTGAATTGTAACCTGTTACTTACCTAATAAATCCCATAATTGTGAGTATTCTCTGTGAATTCTGTGTGGCCATTGCACTGAATTATGGAACCCAGCAGAGGAGTAGAGAGTACCATGGCAGGGACGGCTGGTGTTAGAATTTGTAAAAAGTTGTAGAGAGAAGGTATGTCTGACCTCTGCTTCATAGCAATCAGCCTTGAACTGTTGATCTTGATTCTCTTTCTCCCTCCTGAAATTAGAGAAGGTCAGATGCCACCATCACGTCACTATTACATGGAGTGGTTAAATTCTTGGCTACTAACTCAAAGCTTAGTGGTTCAAACCCATCAGCCTCTCCGTGGAAGAAAAATGCAGCAGTCTGCTTCCATAAAGACTGACAATCTTGGAACCCCTATAAGGCAGTTCTACTCTGTCCTATAGGGTTGCCATGAGTTGGAATTTTACCAGAGAGCAATGGAGCTTTATGTGACAAAAACTGACTCGATGGCACCCAACAACAACGACAGCACTCAGTAAGTGCCCCATAAATGATAGTTTCCTCCCTGTCATCCCTTGTAATATGATAATAAAAAATGTCTGTCAATAGAAGGGAAAAAATTATCTTTTTCATGGCCTGTGACTTAGGTAAACAAAGCTCTCTTGTGTATTTTCTATGCCATAGAAATTACTTTTATATTTTTATCATTGAATATTAACTGGAGTTCTTATTGTCACACCTTATTCTGGCATAGACATTGCAATTGTAACCTCTCAAGGAATTTACTGTTCAATTTATGCAAGTCTCCACTGTGAGCTCCAGTAAAATACCTTCAATCTTAAATTCTATATTTCAGCTCCTGGGCTATAAGGGATCTTTTATGTCATTTTGCTATTTGAAAAGAAAACAGACCTCACTCTGCCCTGGGATTTCTTTCATTAGGTAGAAATAGAATGTATAGTTGTAAAAACTGGGAATCTCCAGCAGTTACCTGGAATTGCCTCTAGTTGGTAAGGAATCTATTGTAGTCAGAATCTTTTCGCTGAAAACCCATTAACTAAGCATGTTCTATACACGTTTACTATTGAATAAGGGAGTAGGAATACCAGAGAAAAACAAGTAATGGCTTGAAATCTGAAATCCAAATCTAAATTCTCAAAGACAGAACCATATGAACTATAATTTTATGCTTTTAATTAGCAATTTTTAATACCTCATACTGCAGTGATGACTTTTTTATGCTGGAACAGCCCCTCCTTTTTTCACTCCTGAGAAGGTGTACCACATATCATATGGCTGATTCTTGGCACTTTAATTTCAACCATCCTGGCTTTTGAAAAGCCCCCTGTACAGCTCAGAGTTTCTATTTTGCTATCACGGCAAGAGCTTTTTGAGATATGCAGCAGTACACACTATGCATTTTAGATTAGAATCCACCCCCTGTCCTTTAAGTCATTGTGCCTTCTGGGGCTTTCATCATTTCTATTAATAGAAGCAAGACATTTAAAACATTTAGGCAGTTATTGTATTTGTAGTCTAATCCATACATGAGCTCTAGTACAAGGACATTTGGTCATGTGTCCTATAGCACCTTCTTTTCAGCATCACTTACTGTTCATTAAATGAGAGAAAATATTTTTTCACCTAATAGGGTGATAAAATAAAACACTTATATTTGGGGAGTGAACTACCTAGACATAGTCATCTCAGAAATAATTTCCATTATATAACTTTGCTGTCAAATAGCTAGTGATTAACAAGGTACTCAGAAAGTACATTTTGGCTTTAAAAATAGTAATTTTTTTTAACCAGAAATCAACACTAGAAGGCTATGAATTATCTAAGAGTGATCTTGAGAAATGTTTTGTTTACATAGTAACAGTGAATTCTCACCTATTTTTTTAAATGACAAAGAGTAACTAAGAAATTCTACTAATATTTTTGTATTAGTAATTTTAGAGGAATTTTTATTACTTTTCTGACTCAAAATAACAGTAGTCATCGAAATAACACTACGTGCCACAAATAAAATCTTTTTCTAAAAATAAATTCCTATGTTGCCACATCTCCCCCACCATCTCTGCATAGATACAATATTTATCAGCTTTTTTATCCCTCTAAAGTAGTTGGGGAGATAGTTTGAAAAAAATTCATGGGGTGCAAAATGTTCATTTTGGACTTTACCTTTTTATTCTCCTATTTGTTGTATTCATGGAGAAAGTCAAAAAGAGTTTGTTGTTGTTGTTTTCTTCAAAATATTATCTACCAAAAGACAAAGCAGTTTCCAGAAAGATTCCCTGCCATCATCGCTTCTTCCTGCAGCAAAAATGACGATGTTTTCTGGTACATTTTATTTTAGAAAAATACAAATTTTAAAAACCCAAGTTTATGACTAACAGAAAATTTCAAATATGTGCCAGATCTTAGCAGTTTTCAAATACTGTGTCTATTTTCTTGTACCTGTTAGTTTTATTTCCTCTTGAAGGATAATGCTGAAACCTTGTGCTTATTGGTGATTTGATTTTCTATGATTTACTATAATTACAAGAATGGGAGGCTGATAGCATGAAGCCATGTTTTATTGTACTAGAAGAGACTTTTCACCATAGGGGGCAAAACAAGGGAAAAAAAAGAGTTTGCGGAAGAGGCCAGTTTCTTAGTGTATACTGCTGGAACTGGTGAAAAAATATTCATTTAGGAAAATGCATAATTATGGTAAGTCCTGGAATGATGAGATGGAAAATAAAGGTCAAAATTAGGAACAATAGCAAAAGAAAAGCAACATTTTAAATTTATTTCCAACAGAGCAGAACCTAGTCTTCAAAGACTCTAAAGTCAAGTCATTAAATAATAAGGTAGTTTTTATTGAGTAGACTTGCAGGATACCCAATATAATTAGATAGTAGGCCCTGGAGGATTTACAGGATTTAAGATTTTTGTAAGCAACCAGTTACTAAAAGACCTACCCCAGATTTGAGTAAATCTCACATCTGTAAGCTGTTTTGGAATTTTGCTTTGAACCTTGGGAGGCACTTTAACCCAACAGTCCCTTTTCTTCCACTGGCTTCTTCTACTTTTAGCCTCATACTACGTAGTTTTATGTTTCTTTTCTGACTCTCTCTCCCTCAAAACTCTACCCTTTTTTTTTTCTTTTCCCTTTAAGTAGATGTCTCTCCTGCAGATCATTTAAATAAACTGCTAAAACATTTTCAATACCAAAACGTTATTTTTAAATGCTCTATTTTAAATAATAGAGGAATTTTGCATTGCTCTTTTATTTCTGATGTTTTAGAATGGAAATATATATTTTTAATACAATTGAACTCTCTACATAGGTGTAGTTTTCCGAAGTATTCATAATGAGTTCTTAATTTAGAAAGGGAAAATAAGTGAAGCAACATGATTCAACATGTTATAGGGAATTCTATAGACAGAAAATTCAATAGCTGACCAAACTATGTTTTGTACTCTGATAGGCGGTCCAAGGCATTGTTTAGATTTATTATATTTCACTCCGGTTCAATCTTGTCTTGTAGCTTTTCTTGTCTCCCACGGGCCCATTTCTCTTGGTTTGCTTTGTCTTCAGTGTCTAAATCTGGAAATCTCCTTTCTTCATTTTCCGTCATTCTTCCCTTATAAAAAGGGTTTCTGGATGTAAGCGCTTTCCAGTCATTTTAATTTCTTAGACAAATAAAAGAGAGCTGCATGCATGTATTAATACATTTTTAATAGCCACTACTGACAGACAGGGCATTTTCTTGGTATTGTTTTGAACTGCTATTATCTTAAGAGTTTTATTTTTATCAATATCTATTGTGACATCCAGTTAAAATGACAAAGACTCCCATGCTGGGCAAACTGAGGAAACCCTTTAGTTCACAGAATAAAGGGCTGAGACTGACTGTAGAGAATTTTTTTTTTCTCATTTTTGTTCATATTCTGTTGATGCTACAAGCCCCAAAAAACCAAGCCTGTTGCTGTGGAGTTGATTCCAGCTTAGAGTGACCTTATAGTACAGAGTAGAACCGCCCCATAGGATTTCCCAGGCTGTGATCTTTATGGAAACAGACTGCCACATCTTTCTCCTGCCAACATTTTGGTTAGCAACCGAGTGCTTAACTGCTGCTCCACCAGCACTCCTTCTATTGATGGTATAGTTCTTTTTAAATAATTCTCATGTACTGTTAAGGCAACATAGTATCTAGTATACAGATAACTTTTTCACTGTCTGCTATAAAGTTACATGAGATTTGGTATGTTGCTGCCATCTATGGACAAGAAATGAATACTGATTTTAACTTTAAACAGTACATGTTAATATTTTCACATATACTTACATTACCTTTTACAAAACTCTAAGGAATACTTGTTTGCTTATCTATGCATATAATCTACCTATTAACATCTATTAAAGCTCCAAAGAGGATCAATTTAAGAGAAATAGATTCAGAAAATACAGGTAGCAACATGCAAACATTCTATAGATACAATATATAGTCTCTTACAGTTGCCAAAATATTTTCACATACTTATCTTTCAAGATTATTGTTGTTGTTGTCAATGTTATTGATAGTTGCCCGTTGAGTCAGCTCCAACTCATGGCAACCTTATGGAAAACCAAACATTGGCCTGTCCTGTCTCGTCTTCAAGATCATTGGTATGTTTGAGTTCATTGTGATTATTATGCCAACGCATTTTGTTGAGGGTTTCCTCATTTTTGCTGACCCTCTACTTTACCAAACTTGATGGCCTTTTCTATCTATTGGTAATATATTATGTTATTAGCCTATTTTACAGATAAAGATTAGACCAAGAGAATGTAAGAGCCCAAGTCACTGAGCTGATGAAGGGAAGAGTTGGGGCTTGAAACCAGGTTTCTTGATTCCACTCTGTGGGATCTCTTTCCCGTGCTTTGCAGGACCTGGACTTTCAGAACACTTGTTCCTTAACCTTTGCTCAAGTGAGCCACTATGTATAAGCAGCTACTACTGTCATGGATTGAATTGTGTTCCCGCAAAATATCTGTCAACTTGGCTAGGTCATGATTCCCAGTATTGTACGACTGTCTACCATTTTGTCATCTGATGTGATTTCCCTATGTGTTGTACATCCTATCACTAAGATGTAATGAGATGGATTAGCGGTAGTTATGTTGATAAGATCTACAAGATTAGATAGTAGATTTTTATATCTCTTTTGAGATATAAAAGAGAGAAGTGAGCAGAGAGACATGGGGGACCCATACCACCGAGAAAGCAGTGCTGGGAGCAAAGCGTGTCCTTTGGACCCAGGGTTCCTGCAAGGAGAAGCTCTTAGACCAAGGGAAGATTGATGACAGAAGCCTTCCTCCAAAGCTGGCGCCCTGAATTCATACTTCTAGCCTACTGAACTGTGAGAAAATAAATGTCTTTTTGGTAAAGCCATCCACTTGTGGTATTTCTATTATAGCAGCACTAGATGACCAAGACAACTACCTAATCAGATCTCTGCTCATTTATTCTTCCAACAAATGTTTGAGGGCCTACCCTGTACCAAAAACTGTTTTAGGCTTAGAACAGAATTAAGGAAACTGCTGGAATCAAGGAAAGCAAGGTCTCTGCAATCTTCACGCTCACATTCTAGTGCAGGGGGATACAACTAATGCAAATAAATAGATGGGTCAGCAGGAGCAGTTTAGAGGGTGGTAAGAGCAATGAAGAATATATAACTGAGTGATACGATAGTGAGTATTAAGTCACTGCTAACCATATAGAAATAAATACAAAAGAAGTAAAATACACAACCAGTGCTTTCAGAAACTTAGAGCCTGATTGAGAAGACAGAACAAATGATGCTATAAATAACAGTACAAAATAATGAAGTAGATATCAGGGGATGGTGATATAAAACAGCACTTCACTGTGCTTATCTCACACTCTATGAACTTCAGGGTCACAGAGTTAGTAAAGCTTAGTACTGGCTGGAATGGTAAAGATGCCTTCAAAATGGATACAATGGATAGTTTTAACAAGGCCTTGACAGAGCATTCAATTCTGATAGAGACGGTACTGACTCCAAGGAAATATTTAGCAAAGACACAATTGTGGGGCATAATGTGGAATCTCCTAACACAGGTATTTAGCACCACCGCAGGCCTTGTTAGATATTGCACTTCCAGACATTTACTGGTTCTTTCTTTTTTTTTTTTCCTTTTTTCTTTGGTCTTGGCTCTGTGTCTACAACTACATTCCTATGATAATCTTATTCTGATCTCATTGGGTTTCTTCAAAACAAAATGAAACAAAATTAATACTACCATAATCTGGATTATATTTATGTGTTTATTCTGAATTGCATTTCTGACATATTTATTAAAATTTAGAAGTAAATTAGCATGTAAACTTAGAAAAACAGAACAAGTAGATACTTGCTAATATGTGGTGTCTTAGTGATCTCGTGCTGCTATAGCAGAAATACCACAAGTGCGTGGCTTTAACAAACAGAAATGTATTCTCTCACAGTTTAGCAGGCTAGAAGTCTGAATTCAGGGCACCAGCCCTAAGGAAAGGCTTTGTCTCTTCGCACTCTGGGGGAAAGTCCTCGTCCCTTGGTTCCTTGGTGATCTTCATGTGATACGGCATCTGTCTTTCCCCATCTCTGCTTCTTCTCTATGCCTACTCTGCTCTTTCATATCTCAAGAGAGATTGACTTAAAAGACGCTCTACACTAACACACTCTAACTATCATAACAAAAAAACTCTTTTTTCAAATGGGATTATAATTACAGGTATAGGGGTTAGGATTTACAACACATATTTTGGGGGGACACAATTCAGTCCATAACATTTGGTATTCTCTGTACAATGTAAGAATTTGTTGAAATATTCTCTTTCACAACAGTGTTTGTAATTGAATCTAACTTTTTAAGATATATCATGAAATACCTTATTCTTTTTAAAAAATAAATTCAACTTAAATTCTAATAATAAATAATTTGTTACTTAAAAAAGATATGCACATGGCACCGTGTGCTTGTTGTTAGGTGCCATCAAGTCAGTTCCAACTCACAGAGACCCTAGGTACAACAGAATGCAACACTGTTAAAGGGCACTAAAACAGTATAAAATTCATATTTTTTTCTCTTGCAAAAAAAATCAATTCTGATTCCCTGTTATGAAGAACTCCTTATTCTATTTCTAGAGTGCATCCTCAAGCAATGTACCACCTATCTAAATACTAATATCTCAGGTCAAGTAACCATAAGCAAAAACATACAGTAACTTTCTTTTTCTTATGTCAGTTGTAGAGTTAGGAAAATAGAAGTTTGAGACAAAGAGAGATTTTTGAAATGATTTGTAGGTATACACTTAATTCTAAGTTATGTCCATAGAGTAGAGATTTATCACTGAACAGGTTAATTTCTTCAGTGTAAATAACCCATTCTGAATCTGCAACTTAAAGTGGCTCTTTGGATGTGTAATTGAGCCAATGGATTGACGAATTGTCAGCTCACCTCTCTGTGCTATTTGGTTGCACTTGACTCTCTATAAAGGCAATGATACTAATTGAAAGCACAAGTACACTTTGGCTGTTAGTCAGACAAGACATACATTAATAAACCAAATTTTCTACTTTTATTCATCTATCACGAATAATGTTATTACTATGAAATGCATTATGGAAGCTATATTCTATTTTCTTCACAAATGACATGAGATGAAATCTGAACTGCTTATTTTTACAGCACATGGTATAATGAGCATTTTTGATTCAAGTCCTTTCAATGTTTTTTGCCCTTCTCCTGAAAACTGCCATTTTTTAAAGCACCATTACTAACTTAAAATGATTGACATCATTAAGGAAAGGACTATAATAAACTGCCTTGGACCTTTTTCATTTAAGTGTTACTGTAAGTAATCGTGGGCATGCCAGCGAAGCATGGATAACATCTCTTTCAATTCAGTTTCTAATTTAAAGATCAAGTACCTGGAGATCCTCTGTATTTGTTGCTCCAGATTAGCTTCATACCTATGATTTTCAATATTTGTAGATTTCTAATCCTCTTGTCTTTTTGAATATGTTAATTCAGAAAGGTATTTAAGTGATATTTCCTGTAACTTTTGTTTTATTATAGTTTGTATATATCTGCAGGCATATATACTTATGGAGTCCTGAATGATACAAATGGTTAATGTTCTCAGCTGCTAACCAAAAGGTTGGAGGTTTGAGTCTATCTGGAGACTCCTCAGAAGAAAGGCCTGGTGATTTACTTCCAAAAAATGAGCCATTGAAAACCCTATGGAGTACAGTTCTACTCTGGCACACGTGAGGTCACCATGAGTCATAACAGCCTTGATGGCAAGTGGTACTTGCATATTTATGGAAATGCACAAATACATAATTTAAGTCAGCTTAAAAGTAAGATAAAGTCAAAGGCTTTCCTCGGGAGGTGTATTTCTGCTCAGTTTTTGAGATTATGTAGTCTAATGCATTGTAGTCTAATGTAGTCTAATGTATTGAGGATAAAGGTGTGGAGTGAGGATGAGCATTCCAGGAAGAGAAATGAGACAGTGAATTTGGCAAAAATATTAAGATATATATAAGCTTGAGGTATTTGGAGCTTAAGATGTATAAAGGAAAGTGAAATATGAATCTAGAGAGTAAGGTGGGAGCTGGATCATAAAAGTCATTGTATCTCATGCTAAGCATTTTAGTTTATCGTTTTGTAATGGGGTGGAGAGGAGATCAGGAAGTGGTTTGAAATGTTTTAAACTGAGTAATGAAAGCATGATTAGATTCTACTTTAGAAAGACCATTTGACAGGAGTGTGGAGGATGAATTGGGTTGGGGATTTGGGTGGAGCCAAGGAGATTAGTAGCCCAGGTTATTGATGACTTAACGCTGTGGCTTTAGGATATAAAGAAGGAGATAGAAAAGTAGAACATTTAGGTGGTACAATCATCAGGGCCTGCTAACCAAATAAATGTGGGAACTGAAGAAGAGCCGAGGGTTTAGGATGACTCCATATGTTCTGCCATGAGCAAGTATGGATGGTGACGCCCTTAACTACAGTAAATGATAAGAAGAGGCAGATTTGACGGGAAAAATCATGAATTCAATTTGTTCTTTTTTGTTGTAGAGTAGTATTACATGGTATGCTTGTACAACAGTTTGTTTAATCATTTATCCATAGAAGAACAAGTAGATTGTTTCTAGATTTTGACTATTACATATAAAACCACAGTAAACATTCACCTACTGGTTTTTGTGTCAACCCAAGTTTTCATTTCTCTGGTAAATGTCCAGGAGTATAATTGTTGGGTTGCATGGTATTTGCATGTCTAGTTTTAATACTGCCAAAGTGTTTTCCTGATTGACTGTATGAGTTTATATTCCCAGTAGCAATGCATGAGTTATCCCATTTCTCCGCATCCTTGCCAGCATTTGGTATTTTCACAGCTTTTTATTTTAGCCATTCTGATAGGTGTGTAGTGATGTATCATTATGGTTTTAATTTGCATTTCCCTCATAGCAAATTATGTTAAACATCTTTTCATGTGCTTATTTATCATCTTTTTATCTCCTTCAGTAAAATGCCTGCTCAAGTCTGGAAGCTTTTTGACACTAGAAAAGTTAGGAGGCCACCGCAGTAAACCAGAGGGAAGGAGATGGGAACCCATACCAGAAAAGTGTTGGGGGAGGGAGGTTGAAGAGTGAAGTTCAAGAGAACTTTAAGGACTGGTTATTTGGAGATGAAGATGTGGAGATGAGTAAACTTATAGATAATACCCAGGTTTCTGACCTGGCAATTTGTTGTAAATTCAATGGCCAATTCACTTGGTTAAGGAGAAAATCAAAGGGAAAGAGTAGTGTAAGCAAGAGATATTTTTCTGAAGAACTTTGAAGTATCTACAAATGTATGTGAGATGATGATGATTGAAGAGCTCTAAACATTATTGAAGGAGCCCTGGCTGCACAATGGTTAAGCACTCAACTGCTAACTGAAAGGTCAGTGATTTGAACCCACTGGCCACTTCATGGGAGAAAAGACCTGGCCATCTGCTCCCCTAAAGATTTCAGCTCTGTCCTACAGGGTCATTATGAGTTGGATTGGACTCTGTGGCACCCAACAACAACAAACATCATTGGAGTCTGTGATTAAATTTGTTTCTTCTGTTAGGTCATTTAGCTTGTCAGTAAAGTGTGATAGCCATGAAATTGGTTGCATTATTCTGGAATGCTGATTTTAGATGGAAAAGAAATGATTGTATATAAAGCACAAAAACAGATCATTCATGTAGGAACATTTGAAAATAAATTGCACAGTAAATTTTCTTTCATCCTTTTTTGTTCAAGGAATAGAACTGCTAGCAAGTCTGCTGATCAATAGAGACTCTCATGTTTATTATATTAATTACTAAATAATTGTATAATCCTTCTTTAAATACATACACAAACACACACACACACAACTTGACTCATGTTCCCACAATACAATACTAAATAAAATGAAGAATATTACTTAACAATTTTATATGCATATTTGAAATAAGAGTAGACTTTGGGGCTACTTTACCTACGAAATTGCAACAATTCTATGCAACAGATGGGGAAATTAGTGTCTTCTGTATAAGAAAACTGGAACACCACAAAAATTTAGCGTAGCCTTGCTATGTAAGAGGATGTAATTTTGAGTCTTGAGTCATAGGAAAATAAGTTGTAAGTGAATAGATTGTAGGCTGTGAAAGCCAAATAAACATTTTCATAGGTAAATATTTCCACAAAGTCTGCACATGATAAGGGTTCAGTTAATGTTAACTTGATGAGACTGAGTAAATGATTGTGTTCAGGAGGAGCTAGATAAGTTTAAAGGTTAATGGCTGCTTGCATAAGTGTACACACTATATTTACATAGGCATCAATTCCCGTTATAAAGAATTGTTCCAGGGAGACAAGCACTTCTAGCCACCAACCATCAAACCTCATTCTACACTAAAACAGAGGGCAGAGTGTGGTAAAGAATGAGCATATCAGTTTCTCTGTACTGAGGTTGGGTAAATTTTTACTTTGTGTCTAAAACTTTTCAGAGTAAAAACAAAACCAATAAAACTCTAAAAAAATGTGGAGGGTTTTTTAATCCAAAGCATTGGCAGAAACCTGGGGGAAGGATTTAAAAGAGGCCAGTACAATGAGAAGTAGCCGGGCCTTAAGGACAAGTGGGTTCCTTATCATAGAGAATAATTTAAATCTTTTTTTTTTTTTTAAGAATAGTGGTTATGTTATTTTGTGCAAAAAAATTGAAATATGATAAGCAAAGCTTCTGCAAGGCATAAATTAGAAAAGACAAAGAGAAATCCAATTACTATGACGCATTAGTGATAACCATCTTTAATGCTTAACGAACATTTAATTTTTTTAAGTTGTCATGTAAATATTATTCTTACTAAGATTCATTATTACATATTTTAGAAAGTAAAAAAAGGTTTGGAAGATTTTATATTTCATAAAATAATTCACAGGAGAGAAGTATTTCAACAATTTTCATTGACACTTGTTTCAAGTTTATTGTATATTGTATTCAGTGTGTAGCTTCTCTGATCTGTGGATTTTTGTGGAAATGTTGAGCTCTTAAGCACTCCTGATTTTAGTTATACAGGCCCACCCTCAACCAAAAGTTCAGCTAATGACTTTAGAATGGCTACCCTTATTTGCATGAAGATATTGATACGCCAAGTATTTCGCGGATACCTATCTGTCAGTCAAACCCTTTATCTTGAGTATAATACCTAACTTCCACAGTACAGAAAGCTGTCCATTTATCTAAGACAGTCCCAGGCAGGCAGGAATATGCTGTCTTGGACTACATCCTTTCCTTAATGTATAACCCATGTCTCATGAATTGTCAGGTAATTTGAAAGGAAAAGTATCACTGTACATCTTTCTCATTCAAATTACATTGTCCATCTTCCTTCTCCTAGCCTCTACCCTGCCTGTATTTCTTGGAACTCTTTCAGCATATAAAATTAACCAGGCAAAAAATAGGAAAGTTACCTAACCACTTATTGAAATATGAAACTAAATTCTCAGTCCAATTCCTTTTCATAGTCTGGCATATTATAAAAGTACATAAGCAATTTAAGTATCCATTACTGTACCTTTGAGGAGTTGAAGATTTATAAGAGAAATGCTCAGCTTTCTATCTCGGTGAAGCAGAGGGTAGAGCAGAAGTAAAGCTTTTGCCTGATTTGCTAAAGAGGCAGAGTCTCAATTAGATGGAGGCGGAGAGATGTGTTCTTGGCAACCAAGGTTTGTTTCTGAGGTGAGGTGGGAGCAAAGATGTGCTTAACTCGCTGGAAGAACCAGATTATGAGTATTCTGTTCTATTATGAAGTGTGCTATCACAAACGCATTGCATACAAAAGTGGAGCTCTGTGTGTGTGTGTTTGTGTGTGTGTGTGTGTGTGTGTGTGTAATATGCATGCACGTTTCTGAATTTATTTTTTTAATTCAAGGGACACTGGGAAAATGAAAGAGAACCTGAATAAGTTGGGTATGCTGGGTATTTATTTATGCAGCTAGTTAGGGACATCTTAGATTAAGGGTCTTAATTTGCCTTGAGCTATGGGCAGGCCTTGGAAAATTCTAAGTGGAAGCTTTCCTTGGGAAAGAGAGTCTATAATGTAATCAGATATTTGGAGGTTTGTGTGACCCATGATGACTTTATGATCATTGACTTAGTGTAAACAGGGACCAACTAAAATTATTTTGGACATTCTCTTCGGGGCTTTTGTCCACGAGAAATTAATTTCCTTGGGATATTACCTAACAGAATCCAGGAAAGCTACACCACACACACACAGAATGAATTTTGAGCTCTGATGAGGAGAATCATTTCTGAACTGACCTAATGTTGGAGTTGTTTTGCAGACAGTTTCAGAGTGATTAAGAGAGCAGCAAGAACAACTGTCGATTTGACATGTGCAAAGAAAAACGGATGAAACAGAAAGTGGAAGGAACTTATGATCATCTTTGTAAATCTTTTTCTCACACATTACTAAATACTTCTATTTGTTTCAAAATGCAACTTCAAGGTGACAAACTCTTAATGTGGTGGCAGGGGGGAACTTTATATGTAAAATGAAGAGCTAAAAATCTCTTTCAGGGCCATGGATCTAGGATATGGTTTTACAAAAAAAAGACATTCAAATTTTATGTGACTATCATTGAAACGATTAAGGATTAGTTTAGCTAGAAATTATAATAGAAACTATTTTAAAATAGTCCAAATTACATATGACAGAATCTTTTAGTATTTTTCATTAAATCGATCAACCTTGGAGAACATTTGCAAATGCACAATTTAGAATTTTTGATAAACAAGGTAAAGTGTGTTTCATTAAAAACATTTGTTTACCAGGCTGATATTGTGCAAATTATTCTGTAAGGTTAATAGATTACCAGATTCACTTAGTTCAGACATTCTATCACGCTTTTAAAAGAAGATTCCAGCCTTGGAATATTTTTTATCTTAAATATCAATATATTTTTAGAAGGTGATATTTTTCAGAGAGGACTATCACCAACTAGAAGATTGATAGAAAAAAAAAAAAGGAAAGAGAGAGAAAAAAAATGAATCTTGGAATCTTACGAAAAGAGCAACAATGAGCTCTAGTGGCAAGATGTTATAATGTCAAGTATGGCTAACATTCAGCAATGATAGACAGTCTTTCCCTCATCCATTCAGTGAAGATTTCTCAGTCCTCAAAATGAAGATTAATTGGTGGAAATATGTATTCCTCTAAATCAGGACCTCATTACCATCCACACAGTATTAACTACCTGGGTAGGATATCCATAATTTATGAATTGCATAGAATTTATCTCTCATAGTTTTTGCAAAACAACATCAAAGAGATTATTCTATTAAGAGTCATATTTTATGCTTGAAATGACATAACTTATACTGCATCTGATCAAGTCATTCTTCAGTTAAACTTGGATTTTAAAAGACTGTTGATTTACGTGCAATGTACTTCATAATATATGTGTGCCACCTCGTCCCTCTGCTCCACCATCTGCTTCCTTCACAAACACAGGCATGATTTTAAAACAGGAAGAATGTTTCTTTTTTTCTAACTGTGAGAAAACTATGTTTTGACTCTTCAGTTCAGAGTAGTGGTAAGGTACAGATATGATTTAATAAACACATACCAGATATCAGTTCAAAGAAGGCTTTAGGTGTTTTTTAAATCTATTTTCACAACTTTATGCAGAAAGGAGGTTTTATTTTTTCATTGGCGTTTTTTAAAACTTTTTTCATTGAATATTTATTGAGTACCCAAAATGTGTCAGGGACTGTGCTAACTGATGGAAACTATATATTTAAATGTTTTATTGAATTTTCTCAGAATAGTAGCCATTACTTCATTAATATTATCTCCACTTTGCTGAAGGAAATAACTAACAATGTTCAGATGTGGGATTTGAACCGAAATGATTTCTTTTCAAATCCTGAGCTCTTAATATTATACCTTACTGTTACTGTTTTACATTCTTTTTTAGGACAATTCATCACAATTGATATAAAAGTACTACAACTACTAAATATACTTTATATTGTATCCAACTTTACTATTTATAAGCTGCTCTCACGTGTATTATTCTATTCAATTCTCTCAGAATAACTCCTTTAGCTAAGACAAGAATTTCTATTCTACTCATAAACTTTTCGTTGTGAAATGTCCACTACTGTTAGAGGACTTTTAAAACAAAGAAACTTTCATCTGATTTCAACTAGCTCATAAAGAAAAATTATCATGGCCTTAGTCCTTAAACAGAACATGGCTACACGTTTACCTATATGACAGAAAGGTGGAGGAGGACTTACCTCAAGTACAGTATTTTGTTCATATTTCTTTACAATGCTTCCAATTGCAAGTCTAAATTAGTCGGGGAGTTTGATCAGATCCAAATGGAAGGAATTTTAAATGTGGACAGTTCTGCCATATGGGATAACAGCATGGGGCACTAGACAACCACCTCCCACTGGACAAGAGTGTAGAGAGCTGTTTAATACCTGCTAAATACATCGATTAAAAATCCTTACTACTTGTAAAAAATGCCATTTAAGAATCATGTTATTTAACAGCTGTTACATTACTTTCCTTGCAGAATTATGGAACTACATACCCCACTTCAGTCAATTCTAGAGAGATTACATGTCATATTTTACACAACAGGCATATTGTGTCTCAAAGAATATTCTGGGGTAAATTTTTACGTTGGCCTCAAGTTAGGTTCTAAATCAACATACCTATCCAACTTTGCATAATCAAATTTTTTAAAAAATAAACACACAAACAGGGATAATAGTTGAATCTAGAGCTCAGTTAGCCTGATGGGTTTTGAAATTTTTAATTCTCATAAAAGCTTCCAAATTCTTTATCTATCTATCTATGAATCTATCTGTCTTAGTTTTCTAGTGCTGCTATAACAGAAATACCACAAATGGCTGACTTTAACAATTAGGAATTTATTCTCCCACAGTTTAGAAGGCTAGAAGTCTGAATTCAGGGCACCAGCTCTATGGGAAGGTTTCCTCTCTCTGTCAGCACTGGGGAAAGTCCTTGTCATCAATATTCCCCTGATCTAGGAGCTTCTCAGCACAGGGACCCTGGGTATACAGGATGTGCTCTGATCCTGGCACTTCTTTCTTGGTAGTATGAGGTAACTTTCCTCTCTGCTCAATTGTCTCTTTTATGTCTCAAAAGAGATTGACTCAACACACAACCTAACCCTGTAGATTGAGTCCTGTTTCATCAACATAACTGCCTCTAATCCTGCCTCATTTACATCATAGAGGTTAGGATTTACAATACACAGGATAATCACAACAGATCACAAAATGATGGACAACTGCACAACACTAGGAATCATGGCCTATCCAAGTTAATGCACATTTTTGGGGGACACAATTCAATCCATAACACTATCTGTCTATCTTCTCTAACCTCCTTCATTCATTCTCCCTATATCTTATTCTCTCCCTTTCAGATCTTGACATTGGAATGCCTATAATTCAATATACTGTTTTCTAGTAAATTATTTTTATTTACCAAATCCCAATTTAAATGTTCTTACATTTTGTTTATTCCAAGGACAAATAATATGAGCAATGGTCAAGTATGACTTCTACATTTTGTGACCCTACAATCTCCATTAGCTTCTACAGTGATATTTCATCATTTTTTATAACTATTACTGTCAGGGAGATAGGCAGTAAACTTCTAACGCTTGTCAAAAATCTTTATTCCTAAATTTTTAACCACCAGACTGGGGTGCATATCATGAGTATCTCAAACGCCTTTGCCTGTCAAATGTAGAAACATACTGACACTTCAAGGACCAAAAGAGTATACAGGGCAACTGAATATTTTTATAAAACATTGACAATGTCTTTTTAACAATTTAGTGTTCTATTGTTTTATCATAGAAGGGTAAAAATTGTATAAAACACACTTTAGTAAATAATTGTTGTTGTTGTTGGGTGCTGTCAGTGCCCACTCACAGCAAGCCCATGTGACAGAGTAGGACTGCCCCAGAGAGTTTTCTTGGCTGTAATCTTTATGGAAGGAGTCCTGGTGGTGTGGCGGTTATGCACTCAGCTGTTAACCCAAAGGTCAGCAATTCGAACCCACCAGCAGCTCCCCGGAAGAAAGATGTGGCAGTTTGCTCTCATAAAGATTTACAGCACTGGAAACCCTATGGGGCAGTTCTACACTGTCATGTAGGGTCACTATGAGTCAGAAGAGACTGATGGCAATTTTTTTTTTTTTTCTCTTTTTTTGGTTAATCTTCTTGGAAGCAGATGGCCAAGTCTTTCTCCTGCAGAGCTGCCGGGTGGGTTTGAATTGCCAACCTTTCAGTTAGCAGCTGAGAGGTTAAATTTTGCACCACCAGGGCTCCTTAATAAATTATTATAAAGATATAAAACTCATAGTTCAATTTAGATAGCAGTACAGGTGAGGTGGTTAGATATTCAACAAATTTTCATTCACTTGGACTAACCTTATCAGAAATCAATTTATTCTCATAAAATAAAACCAATGATACAAACCACAGTTACTCTATGCTAATCACAATGCTCTTCTCTCCTTGGCTAACACAATGTTTTAATCAGAAACGAGGTACCTAATCACTCTGATCCATGGACTGATACCATGATGCATCTTTTCAGTACTCTGCACGGTGAGGAATGAACTGCTGGTGCTTTCTTCCTTTTG